TAACAAAGTAACAATAACATAATAAAATAGAACAATTATAACATTATACTGTAATAAAAGTTACCGCAGATCTTAGTTACATCAGCATACAAATTTTTTTTTTCCTTATTGAGAACTTTCACCTTGTCATTTAAAGAAAGCACTTTACGGCTTCTCCTTGGCATATCCGAATTGCTAGCATCACTACTCTTGCGCTTCGGGGCCATGATTAAGTAAGATAAGGATTTCTTGAACACAAGCACTGTGATACCTTGACAGCTGACTTGATAACCTAGTTGACTAAGTGACTAGAGTGCAGGTAGCATATCCAGTGTGGATACACTGGACAAAGGCATGATTCACGTCTCAGGCAGAACAGAATAGGATGGCACAAGATTTCATCACACTACTTAGAACTGCATGTAATTTAAAATTTACGAATTGTTTATTTCCGGAATTTTCCATTTAATATTTTTGGACCAGGGTTGACTGCAGATAACTGAAACTGTGGATAAGGGGGAACTACTACACATCTCAGAGGTTTTTAGTGGGTTCTAGAATACTAGGGAACAAAAAAAATGCAAGTGAAGAGTCTGCCTTAAAGAACAGTGGTTTCCTAACCTAATACAAAATATCTTAATTGTTCTTCCCTGGCCCATGATCTTCTAAAAGATTATCTTCTTAGTGGGACCAGAGATGTCTCTGACAAATGTGCCCTCCCATGAATTTCTGCCAGCTATCATGTCTTCTGGAGAATAATGGTACAAGGAAATGTTCTATGAAGAAATATAAATACAGGAAATAATATATTCTATAGTCCATATATTAGATTGAACCATATGAAACTGCCATTTTGTAGGCAATTTATATGGTTCAAGTTAACAGTATTTGAATCTATTAATAAAGTGAAAGCTGACAGTTATTTTTTTCTGCCCTTAAATATTTTCCTGCCCATTACTTTGCTAAACAGAATTCATTTGAACTTACGTTATTGCCAATACACTAGCAATTATGTGGTCAAAACCCAAACATGTTAAAGAAAATCATTTGCTTTGAATGAATCAGCTGCTAAGAGAGCTTGCTCGCATAACCGAGCCTGACAGTCCCAAAACATACCTGAGATGAAATACTGCATGATGTGCAGTGAAGCAGACATCTGCAAGACAGCTGGGAAGGGGAAGAGGGCACGTTTTCCCAGCACTCCTGCATGTCATGGGAGCACACAATCAGAGGCGTAAAGAGCTGCAATAACAGGGTTTGCACTGCAGTGGCTATTGCTGCTAAGAAAATTAGTTCATCTCAACCATCCAAACATTACAGACCACCATTATCTATCACATTTTCATAGGGATTCTATGCTAATAGATTGTATTCCTTTGTATTTGTTGTATTTTATTATTACGCGGGTCCTATCTCTTGTTGGAAACAATATTTAGCCCACGTATCCTCAATAGAAATAAAAAGCTTTTACCACATAAGGTCAGTTTGTTCTGTTTGGGGGATGGTGTAATGGCAACTAATTCCAAAATAAGCCAATCTAATATTTATTCCCATTTCATCAACCTTATGCGTAGAAATAAAAGATACTAAACAACTAAAATATGCCTAACAATCAGGCGTTTTGTGCTACCCTTCAAATATATATGTATACATACACATATAAGTATACATAATATATAGAAAAGCAGATATAATTTTTTGTTCAATGTGCAGAGAAAATTTTGATATTTTTCTTCATTGGCTATTTTACCACTTGATATACAAATTTGTACCTCGTTTCCAGGACACTCGGTAATTGCACATGCCTAATCCAATGATAAAAATTTAGGTAGAGAGTGCACACAGAGTCAAAAATGAGATGTATTTTCATTGCCGCTGGTGACTCAAAACAAGCACTCTGGCCTGATTGATGGTATTAAGAAGATATTTCTCAAGTTTAATTTCAGGCCCACTATAGTAATTGTTTCCCTGGTTTTCTGAAACATAATTGCTACATAAATTTAGGGTCAGCCTAGGTCACAGAATGAGGAGTAGAGAAAGGCTTTTGGAATAATGGCAATTTATCTGCAGAAAAGTACACAACTGTGTGGGGGTTTTTTTTACCCTAAATGTATTAAATCATAAATACTATAGCTGCAATATCACCTGACAATGAATTCTCATAAATAATTTTTATTTTTATTTTCCAGCTTGCATTCTATTAAAAGTATTTATTTCTTATAGTTACACCTCAGAACTTATTATTGTTGGTATCAAATACGCAATGTCAGAATGAAGATTTTTATGAACAAATATTGTGCGAACACAAATTAATTCACTCTACAAAATGTTAATCCATGTTTTAGTTTTTTTAAAAGGACTGAGTATTTACTTTCCCTAGCACTTAATAATAGAAGTAACCAACTATTTATTTCAGAAAATTCTAAATATCCTAAGGATGTGAAGACAGTGTCCTAAGTAAAGAATTTAATTTTCTCAAGCCTACTTCACGGACCTTAGCCAACATGAAAAAGGGTGAGAAGGAGACACACAAGAAGTTGTTTCTCTTCCTGTTTAAATTCCCTGACTTGTGTCATGCGGAGGGAGGAAGGACTGCCTTCTTCTGCAACAGAAAAGAACTCAGTGATGGGACACACCGTAAAAGAACTAGCAGAAAGCATCGAAATCAATTAATCATATTATCTTACAACTTTTGATGTAAATTTACAAAATTGAATGCAAACGCCCATATAATTGTTGAAATAGAATATATGACACATTTCTCTGCGATTCTCTCTCTCTCCAAATCCTATGACTAATCTTTAGAAACCTTGTCCTTAAAAAGTACACTAAGATTTTTAGTACCTGGGGATTTAAAATATCACTTATTAAATAGTTTAAAATTATAGTAGACTAGAACTCAGATTCTATTCATTTCTTATTTATCAAGTTCTGAATTTTGTAATGTGCTGAGTATTCACCAACTCTAAGCAAGCAACAAAAAATGTAGCACAGAAGTAGTGGGAGTGGAGGGCGGAAAGTAACAAGTCAGAAAGTTGGTGGGAAGACGGGAAGAGAGAGAGAGCCTTCTACACTCCTGGTTGCCCCAAACAACAGACCTCTGCAGACAGGGCCCCTGCCATTGCTTGTTACTTACATCTCCCGAGTCCAATCAGTATTGAAAATTAGGGTCTAGTTACTAATCATCTAGGTACACAGAAGAGAGGGATACATTTTGGTATTTAACTTTATGACTTAACTACATGGCTTTTGAAAGATGTTCTTGGTAAGTTCTAAAACTGCACATTTTATTCCAGTCTCAACCCAGTTCTTTCAATACCTATTTCTAGTAAGCGGGCAAGTCATCCTGTTACCAAGGATCTCACTATCTTTTCTGTGAAAGAAAGTTAGAGGAGAAAGACAGAGTGATTCATCTTAATAAAATACTAGCTTAGGCAATAATTTTAATTTTACCACATTTACAACCACAGATATACAAAGGCATTATCCACATTCAATCACGTGTATGTCAATCTACTTCATTATAGGAAAAGGCCAATATAAAGAATTCTCCATTTGAGATGAGAAACTGTATGAGCAGAACATTGTACTTACCTTTACACAAGCTAGCAGTTTAATGATCTAGGGCCACACAATTTTAAAAGCAGCACTGTAAGATTATGGTGGGGATGATAAAAATTGTACTATTTCTCTTGCAAATAAGAGAGATAATGGGATCCTCCTAATAGTTATAATTGAGAAAATAAAGCTCTGAGAACCAAGTGAGATGCCACGGATACAGTTTAAACAGCTATGTTTTATTTCTCTCTTCCTCCCTGTCAACTACTCCAAACAGTGCTCCCTGGAGTTCCAGAGTGAATGGCCAAGAAGTTGCGGTAGTATATTTACCCTGAAGTCTATACAGACTAAGAATAAATCCTCAAATTAATCACCCAAGGGTACCTGTTAAAAATAGTTTCCTAGATTTCATCTCAGATCTACTGAACTTGAATCTGGGGCTAGTGTCCATGAATGTGCATTTTTAATAAGCCACCCAAAGCTTAAGTTATTATTATAGGTCATTTCTAGGCATCCTGAAGTGCAAAAACCCTGAATTAAGTATAAGGAGGAAAGCAAACTGGACGTAAGTGTTTAAGTTGGTAACTTAATTGAAAGCAGGTATCAATAGCTCTACGCTTCTTCAGATAATAAATATCTCCTGTCAGATACTAGTACTTGAGGAACAGAGGTTCAGATTTTCAAATGCCATGGTGATTCTAATGGCTTCCTGACTCACCATAACTGGATGGGAATAGCTTACTCTTCCCATTCTTATAGAAAAGTTTTGTTTTGTCCTGTTTTAGTGCTACTAGATTTAATCTTATTTAACCGACAATATTCTATCAACCAGAAAAATACTGCCATAATCTATGAAGGTAACTCCTAAAAAGAAGTTGCAAAAACATTTCAAGAAAGAATACTAAAGTAAGTACAATACATGATAAAGTCAATGTATACCAAGAGCAAGAGCTTCTCAATTTGTGACCCAGGAGCTCTGCAAAAAGTCTCCTCAGCCTGCGTGGAGGTAAAAAGGGGCCAGGGCGCAACCAGAGTCCATCGGCTTTTGGTGAATGGTCTCTAGATTACCCCAATGTGCACACAAAGATTATTTTCTAAGAAGGTCAAGGAACGAAAGATTGGGAAGCACCAACTTAGTAGAAATTGCTGATCTGAGAATCATGAAAACTGAGTTTAACTCCTTGCCATCTCACTGAGTGACCTTAAGTAAGTTACTTCACCCCTTTGGAACCCTTAGTTAGGCTCCTCCTTATTTAGTAAATGATGAATAGTCTGGACTACTTCTAAGGCCTCTTCTATTTCTAAAATTCTGTAATTTTCCTTCCATTTCCCTTTCACAACGTAAAATAATACTGACTGGACATTTACTTAAAAATTCCATACTCACTAAATATTTATTAAGTACCTAAACTGTGCCAGGCATGTGAGAATCTGGGAAACAGATATGGAAGACATACATAATATGGGGTTAAATACATTTTATTGTATACAAATAACATATTTAATTGTGAATAATCCTTGTGTCCCTTTAAGTGATTAAATAGTAGAGTCTACTGAATAGTGCTCAAATAATGGGAATCTGCACAGATAATGAAAAGCTTGCTTATGCATAATTAATAAATATTAACTCTAATTATAGTCTAATATGTAAGGCCTTCTTTCTCTGTACTCTTGTTTAAAAAAATTAGGACATTTAAATTTACTGATAAGTTGCATTTATGATCAAAATCAATTTCAAAAGTATAAGTTTATAAAAATAGTTTATTTTAAAGACTCTCAATAGGACTTCAACATCTTATTTTCAGACATACCAAGAGACAATGTGTTCAGTATATTTTAATCCATGATGAAAGTTGCACCAGATCTATTATTAGATTTACATGTGTTTAAATTGGGCAGGGATGGGGAAAGCATGGATTCAAAATTTTAATTAAATATTACATAATTGGATCTCACCCAAACGAATTTAAAGTGAGATTTTCATTTGGATACAGTTTCACAAAGGTTACAAATATATATCAACTTACAACTGAATGAGTCATTTAGTATTTTACAATGTTTTAAAAATCTAGCTCCATAACCGCTTTCCTTTTAAAAAAAAAATCCTTCCCGTATAATATAAAAAGTCCACATTTCTCTGGAAATGTATACATTTGCCTAATAGTAAGGTCCAAAATGAGAAGAATTACCATCTCCAGAAGAGGGGGGAGGAGGCAGGGGTGGAGGGGGAGGAGGTGGAGGTATGGAGTATGGTAAGGGAAGTAATGGATGAGGTGCCATGCCCGGTGCAGCCCAACCCATGTTTACAGATGCAGGCGGTGGAGGTGGTGGTGGTGGAGGATGGAGTGAAAAATTATGCACGTCAAACACTGGAGGAGGAAAGGGATACTGTGGCATGATAGGATTATCTTGTCTCTGAGGTGGAAATCCTGAAGTCTCCTGAGGGACCATATGTTCTGAGTTATAAAACTGTGGAGGTGGGGGCCTGCCATGGCAAGGTTGAGGATATCTACCCTGGGAAAATGCTCGTGTAAATTCTTTGTTGCGATATCCTTTTGCATGCTCTGAAGAAGAGCTATGAGCATTCCAGTTCTGACGTACTTCTGCAAAATCTTCACCTGTGAGTGGAGGAAAAAAAACAAGAACAAAATTAAAAGTCATCTTAACACATCAAAAAACACTTTAAGATTTCAATAATGTCTTGTCTTTAATTTCCAGTATACTTTATATTATATAAGTTAAAAAAACTTATGCTTAAAATTATCCCTTTTAAATGAATCCAAAAGGCCAAGAAATCAGGAAAGGGAAAGCCTAGCAAGGCAGAAAACTTTGAGACAACAACCATTTGACTCCAGCCAAACAGCACAGAGAAAACGACACCACCCCCAACAACATTCTCAAAGGTGGAGTGGAGAGCCTCGACTTCTACCCTTGAAATGCTTAAATGAGATGCCCTGGCACCCCGACCTGGGTAGTGGCAGAGCAGGGTGAGCCGGGAGCCAGTCACAAGGCCTCCTTTCAGTGATAGTGGAGACCACATGGGGTACCCAACTTCCACCACCACCAGCAGGAGCACAGTGTTCCTCCATCTCCTGCACGGGGGTGGTGTCACAGAAGACCTAGTGGAGTCAGGACTTTCATCACAGCCCAGCGCTAATGAAGTCAGCCCCCACTGGTGTCAGGGGAGCTGTTATGAGGCACTCCTACCCCGACTAGGCATGACAGGAGGACTATCCTTGCCCAGCAGTAACAAGGCACCCCGGCCTAGGTGTCAACAGAGGCCGAGAAGAAAACCTGGACTTCTATCCCCATCTGCTAGTAAGAGTAATAAGGTGACACCCTTCTTCCTTTCTCTGACAGAGCAGTTTTAAAAACAAAAAAACAAAACTGCTAAAACAGAAGATTTAACTAAGATCTAGAGTCTCATAACATAATACCCAATATGTCCAAGTTTCAATTAAAAATTATTCATCATATCGAGAACCAAGATGATTTCAAACTCAATGGAAAAGGAAAACCAATCAAGGCCAATATCTAGATGACAAAGATGTCAGAATTATCTGAGAAATATTTTAAAGCAGTCACCATAAAAATGCTTCAAAAATATTATAAACACACTGGAATAAAGTCTCAGCAAAAACAAAAAGAAAAAGATCCAAAGAAACAAACAGAAATTTTAGAACTGAAAATTCAATAATGGAAATAAAAAACTCAATGGAGGGCTCAATAGCAGAATGGAGGGAACAGAGAAAAAGAAGAGGGAACCGAAAGACAGAACAATGGAAAATATCCAGTCTGAAGAGCAGAAAAACAATAAACTGGGGGGAAAAAACAAACAGAGTTTCAGGAACCTGTGGGACTATGACAAAAGATCTAACATTTATGCCATCAGAATCCTAGAAAGAAAGGGAAAAAAATGTAAAGCAGAAGATGCACTTGAAGAAATAATGACTGAAAACTTCTCAAATTTGCCCTAAGACATAAACCTACAGATTCAAGAAGCTAAATAAACTCCAATCAGAATAAACCCATACCAAGACACACTGTGGTCAAACTTCTGAAAAGTAAAGACAAAGGAAAAACCCAAAAGCACAAAGAGAAATGACATCTTACCCACAGGAGAAAAATAATTCAAATGATGGTAGATGTCTCATCAGAATCCATGAAGGCCAGAAGGAAGTGGCACAACATTTTTAAGTGCTCAAAGACAACTATTAATCTAGAATTCTTGACTGAGTAAAAATATTCTCAGGAAAAAGGGAAACCAAATACATTTTCAGATAAAGGAAAACTAAGAATTTATCTACAGCAGACCTGCCATAATAGAATGGCTAAAGCAAGTTCTCAAAACAGAAACAGTAAGAGAACCCTGGAACATCAGAAAGGAAGAAAGAACACAGTAAGCAAAAGTATGAGTAAATACAATAAAACTTCCTTCTCTGATTGAGTTTTCTAAATTGTATTTGATGGTTGAAACAAAACTTTTAACAGCTAATGTGATTTCAATTGTATGTATATGAAATATTTAAGGCAATTTATATTACAAGCCAGGGAAAATAAAGGAACATAAAGAGAGGCCAGGTTTCTACACTGTACTCAACTAGCAAAACAATGATACCAGTAGACTGTGATAAGTATACATAATTTAATACCTAGAGCAACCAGTGAAAAAATTATACAAAAAGATACACTCAAAAACACTACAGATAAATCAAAATAGAATTCTAAAAAGTGTTATAGTAACCACAGGCAGGGAGAAAAAAGAAAATAGAGAAATGAAAACCAGTGAGAATAAACAGAAAAGGGCAGACTTAAGCCCTAACATATCTTAATAAGCACATTAAATATAAATGGTCTAAATACACCAATTAAAACACGGAGACTGGCGGTCGGCCCTGTGGCACAGCGATTGAGTTCAGTGCACTCCACTTCAGCGGCCCAGGTTCGGATCCTGGGTGTGGACCTACACCTCTCATCAGCCATGTTGTGGTGGCAACCCACATAGAAAGTGCAGGAAGACTGGCATGGCTGTTAGCTCAGGTCGAATCTTCCTCAATAACAACAAAAAACCACAGAGACTGGCAGAGGGAGTTAAAAAAGATAATTCAACTATATGTCTACAAGAAAATCATTTCAAATGATATAATCAGGTTGAAAGATAAAGGATGGAAAAAGATACAATATGCAAACTTTAATTAAAAGAAAGGAGTAGTTATATTAATATCAGATAAAGTAGGTTTCAGAGCAAAGAAAATTACCAGAGAAAAAGAGAGACATTTTATAACCATAAAAGGATTATCTACCAAGATATAGTAATCCTAAATGTGCATGCACCAACCACACTCCCTCTCTCAATAACTGATAGAATAACCGAACAGAAAATCTCCAAGGGTAAAGAAGAACCCAACAACACCAGCAACCAACAGAATCTAATTGACATTTATAGAATTTTCTACCACATAAGAGCAACATACACATTATTTTCAAGTGCCCACACAACATACACCAAGGTAAACCATATCCTGGCCTATAAAACAAACTTCAAAAAAAGGTAAAAAAATGGAAATCATACACAGTATGTTCCCCACCCACAACAGAATCAAGCTAGAAATCAAAAGAGAAAAACCTCCAAGCACTTGCAAACGAAATAATACTCTTCTAAATAATCCACTGGTCAAGGAGGAAGTCTCAAGTGAAATTAAAAAAAAAAAAAAATGAAGCCGAATAAAAATAAATACAACATATCAACATCTGTGGAACTAATTTAAGCAGTAAAGTCTCAAATAAGTAATCTAAGATCTCACCACAAGAACTAGAAAAAGTAGATCAAAATAAACCTAAAGCAAGCAGTTGCAAGAAAATGATAAAGAAAAGAAAGAATGAAACTGAAAACAGAAAATCAATGACACAAAGAACTGGTTCTTAAAAAGACCAATAAAATTGGTAATCCTCTAGGCAAGACTAACAAAGCAATACAAGTTGCAAATTACCAATGCCAGGAAAGACAACAAAAGGATAATAAGCAATACTGCAAACAAGTCTACACATAGGAATTTGACAAATCACATGAAGTGGACCAATTCCTTGAAAAACACATACTAGTATAATCCACTCAGTGTGAAATAGATATCCCTATTAAGGAAACTGAATTTGCATTAAAAACCTTCCCAAAAAAGAAATCTCCAGGCTGAGATGGTTTCACTGGAGACTTTTACCAAACACTTAAAGAAGAATTAATACCAATTCTATACAATCTCTTCAAGAGAATATCAAAAATTACCAACTCATTTTATGAAACTAGTATTACCCTCACACCAAAACCAGGTGAAGACACGTAAAAAGAAAAAAAGAAAACTAGAAAACTATAGACCAATATCCTTCATGAATATAGATGCAGAAATCCTTATCAAAATATGAGCAACAGAATTCAACAACATATATAAAGAATTACACACTATGAGCACCTTTGGTTTATTCCAGAGATGCAACAGCTGGGTCAATATTCTAAAACCAATGTAATCTACCTTATTAACAAGTTAATGAAGAAAAATTATGTGATCTTATCATTCAATGAAGAAAAAGTAATCATCAAAATTTAATACTCATCCATATTTTTTAAAAGTTCAGAAAAACAGGAATAGATGAAAATTTTCTCAACTTGATAAAAAACATTTGCAAAAACCCTATATCTAACATTATACTTGACAAAAGACTGAATGTTTTCTCCTATGATAAGAAACAAAGCATATCTATTCAACATAATGCCAGAAGTTATAGCTAGTAAAGTAAGAAAAGACAAAAAAAATAGACTGAAAGAAAAAAAAATAAATAATACTGTCCCTGTTTGCAAATGACATTAATTCGCTAGGTAGAAAATCTCAAGGAAAAAACTCCTAGAACCAGTGAGTGAGTTCAACAAGGTCAAAAGACACAAGCTAAACATACAAACATTAATCCTATTTCTACATTCTAGCAATGAACATATGGACACCGGAATTAAAAATGCAACATCATTTACAACAATTCAAAAAAAAGAAATACTTGGGTGTATATCTAACAAAAAAATGTACAAGACTTGTATTCTCAAAACTACAAAATGCCGCTGAAAGAAATCAAAGATCTAAGCTAATGGAGCTGCACACCGTGTTTGTGGAATGGAAGACTTGACATAGTTAAGTTGTCAATTCTCTCCAAACCAAAATCCAGGTTTAATGAAACTCCTATCAAAATACCAGCAAGACATGGGGCCGGCCTGGTGGCACAGTGGTTAAGTTCGCATGTTCTGCTTTGGTGGCTCAGGGTTTGCAGGTTCAGATCCCAGGCGTGGACCTAGCACCACTCCTCAAGCAACACTGTGGTGGCATCCCATATAACGTAGAGGAAGGCTGGCACAGATGTTAGCTCAGCTAGTCTTCCTCAAGCAAAAAGAGGAGGATTGGCAACAGACTTTAGCTCAGGGCCAATCTTGTTAGCTCAGGGCCAATCTTGCTCACAAAAAAAACAAACAAAAAAAACCCAGCAAGACTTTTAGAGAAGACTATTCCAAAACTCATGTGGAATGACAAAGGAATTAGAAGAGCTAAAATAATTTTTAAAACTTTTAGGGAAAAAAAATGAGAAAATCTTTGGGATATAGGTCTGGCAAGAAATTCTCAGACTCCATAAAAGGAAAACTGATGATTTGGGCTTCACCAAAATTAAAAACTTTTGCTCTGAAACAGACCTTTTAGGAGAATGAAAACATAAAGCGACAGACTAGAAGAAATTATGTACAAACTCTCATAACTCAAGAGTAAAAAAAACAGAAATACAATTAGAAAATGGGCAAAAGACAAAGAAATATGTCACTGACAGCAAATGAGCATGCGGGAAGATTTTCAATATCATTAGCCATTAGGAAAATGCAAGTTAAAACCACAATTAGATGGGGCCGGCTCTGTGGCCGAGTAGTTAAGTTCACGTGCTCTGCTTCAGTGGCCCAGGGTTTCAGCAGTTTGGATCCTGGGCGCGGACACGGCAGGGCACATCAGTCCATGCTGAGGCGGCATCCCACACAGCACAGCCAGAAGGACCTACAACTACAATCTACAACTATGTATTGGGGGGCTTTGGGGAGAAGGAGGAAAAAAAAAGAAAACTGGCAACAGATGTTAGCTCAGGTGCCAATCTTTAAAAAAAAATTATCTCTAAAAAAATCACAACTAGATATCACTACACAACTATTAGAATAAAAAATAGTGAAAACACCAAATGCTAGTGAGAATGCAGAGAAGCTGAGTCGCTCACACATTGGGGATGGGAACACAAAGTGGCACAGCCACAGTGAAAAACATGATGGCTGTTTCTTAAGAAATTAAACATATTAACTATCATATAATCCATTTTTCCCAGAGAAATGAAAATCTGTGTTCACACAAAAACCTGTACACAAATGTATACAGCAACTTTATTTCTATAACCAAACCTGTTAACAACCCAGATGTCCTTCAACACACAAATAGTTAACCTGTGATATCATTCAAACCATGGACTACCACTCTGGAACGAAAAGAAACAAACTTGACACACACAAGAATCTGGATGAATCTCTAGAAAATCATGCTCCGTGACAAAGCCAAAGCTGATGATAACATGTTGTATGACTCCATTTATATAACCATTCTTGACATGACAAAATATATCACAGAAATGGAGAACAGATTAGCGGTTGTCAGGAGTTGAGGAGGAGGTGGGGGGGAGGGGAATGGGAGTGACTATAAAAAGGCAACATGAGGGATCTTTTCTGTGATGGAAATGTTCTGTATCTTGATTGTATCAATGTCAGTATCCTGGCTGTGCTATTGTACTGTATAGTTTTGCAAGATGTTGCCATTGCAGGAAACCGGGTAATGAGCATACAAGATCTCTCTGTATTATTTCCTACAATTGCATGTGTATCTAGAAAAAGTTTAGTTTTAAAAAAGGAAAAAGAAAACAGGAAAGATATAATAAAAAGGAATGCATGTTAAAAAATAAAATACCTTGATTTAGGTATTAAGTATCATATCATTTAATTCTAATCTAATTAAATGATTAGATTAAATCTAATCATTTGATTTATTCATGGAAGTAAACAGGTTTCTTAAGGAAAAAGCACAAATGATACGCACAAATGACTCTAACAAGGCTTAATTTGCCTTTTACCCCAGAAGCCATTTTTATATTCTGAAGCTTGAAAAACTACCACTGAATATTCCTTGTGACTCTCTCCCACCACATCCCATGCTGTGTAATGCCTCCAATGCTAGCTGCATGACAGGAGGTAAAAAGAGAACCCAGATGCTTCCTTCAGTTTTATTGCTGATGAACTTACATAAATGTAAATAATGATTTTAAAAAATTACAAGATAATGCATTTACTTACTTGATTCATTAAATTCAGATTTGAATTTTTTCCGGCCTTGAATCTGAGATTTTTTCCTCTGTTTGGCCTCTTTTTCCTTTTCATCATCACTGAAATCTAAGGCCTTATAGGAAAAAAAGAGAGACTTATGTCACATGGATTTACCAATTCAACAGTATATACTTGGAGGTAAGTAGAATAAGCTTATTATTGAATGCCGACCCTGAAAGAAAACTACTCTTTTCAATACTTAATATTCTCCAGTAATATTCAAATTAACTACATAATAGAAAAATAGTTTTTGATGAATGCCTAATAACTCTGAATTAACAGAAGTCAGTAATCAAGATGAGTACTCAAGGATTTTTTGTTTCTTAAAATTCCTAGAAAGTTTCAGATAGGTAACTTTAAAATGCCAATCTTTAGCAAACTTCAGATATGGGTATTCCCTAGCTAGAAGTCTGACTTCCAGCTTAAAATCAAGATTCATCATAGTGCCACTGCCAATGATGCTAAAGAAAGGAGTAGTTAGGAATAAATTATCAGATCTAATATAAAAATACAAGATAATGTTATACCTTTCACTCATTCAAAAATGTACACATACCCATTATATGCGAGGCCTGTTCTAAACACTTTACAGATGCTAATTCTTTTAATAATATAACGTCAGGTATACTAAGAGTTGTAAATACATACTAAGACAAAGTAAGGGGGGAGAAAATCATGAGGGATGCTATTTAGATAGGACGGCAGGAAAAGGTTTTGATAAGCAGATCCATGCATGACCCAACTTCCAAGAAGAAATCATTTTAAATTACAAGAGGGAGAGTCAAACATAACTAAGAATTGAGATTCCCTGTTATAGCCCACCAAAAAACAAGACTTATGAGCTATATATTATGACTTCTATGATTTCTTAAAATTCAGGAATTTTCTGTTGTTAGTGCCATAAGTCGATTCCTAGTGACCCTGTAGACAGCAGACTGGAACCCCGCCTGATCTTTCTCACTTTTCAGTGCTATATCAGACAATGCTCCACTACTATTCATAGGGTTTTCATGGCCAAGTTTTTTGTAAGTGGGTGGCCAGGTCCTACCTCCTAGTCTGTCTTAGTCTGGAAGCTCCACTGAAACCTGTCCACCATGGATCACCCTGCTGGTATTTGAAATACCAGTGGCACAGCTTTCAGTGCCACAGGATGACAACCAACAGACAGTATGACAACAGATAGACTGGTAGTGTGTTTCCCTGACCTGTAAACAAACCCTGGCCGCAGCAGTCAGAGCACGGAATAGCAACCACTAGACCACCAGGACTGGCTCTCAGGCATTTTATTATTCTATTAATATCAGAAAAAGATACTACATTTTATTAAAAAATATATGAAAGCAGGCTCACTGTGCATGCATGTGTGCACATTTAAAAGGAAGAAATGTCTATGAAAAGTTTTTGTATGGGATTTTCAGTATGGACTTGCTGAAATATATGCTAGATCAAATCTTCCATGAACCAAGAGTCCATACACCTCAGAATCTATAATCAAATTCAAAAACATCAATTAATTTTAGTACTTTCAAGCACATGTTCTTTTATTAATGATTTTAGCGTGCTAAGGTTTTTAAGCTCATGTTAAATCTGGTATCTGCTAGACATTAGAAAGTATTAGGATTAGATGGAAAACATTCCGTTCTCTGAAATTGTTCATTCAAATAACAAAATAGACAAACCAATGAACTTAGTGCTATGGAAGTGTAGGGCTGAAGAAAGAAAAAAGGGCAAGGAAAACTTGTTGGTACGGGTAACCCAAGGAGAATCTCTAATGACTAGTTAGCAGCAAAAAGATGGGAAAGAAAATTTTCAAAGAGTGGGAATATGTGCAGAGGCACAGCATATTCAAGAATTGAAAATGGTTCTGTAAGGCAAAGTGAAACCTTCTTATATAGGGAAATCAGAGATGATAAACCAGAGAATAAAGAACCTTATTGTGCTATCTTAAATAACTGGGCATCATCCTAAGAGCAGGAGGGAGGTATTAAAGGATTTTAATTGGCAACAGTTTATTTTGAGAGACTACTTTGGCAATATTTTGCTATCACCTCCCAAAATCAGAGAAAAATTCACATTTTTCTTGTACACAAATTAATTTAAATTTGCATTCATCAAACACATTTATTCAACCACAAATTACATATTCATGTTAGAAACAGATATGAAGATGAATAAGATGCATTCTCTGTAAGTAATTTTTAGCTCCTTTATGCAAGCTCAACATTTCCTATTTTCACAGTATGATTTCTTTTAAAGTTTAAACCCCAAAATTCCAAACTCTAATCTATGATTAGTACCAGGCAGTAATTCTATACTACAAAATTTCATCATCATAAAATAAACTTGTGAATCTCAGAGTTTTCTATATTATGAAAATAAGGGACATTCAGTCATCTACTTAGAAAAAAACAAACCTCATGAGGTATGCTGAGATTTAATTTTTATAATTAACCTAATCAAACCAATTTTAAGCAATTAACTTTACCATAACTAGCAACTTCAATGCTTAGGTCTGAAACAACAGGAATGTACCAGAATATTTACATTTCGCAAGAAATACGTTTCAAGACCTTTGTGAATTCTCAAATAGTTTAAAAACACATAATTTCAGTAATAAGATGCCCTAAACATAACCAAGAACATTAAATGAATCTAAAGGGCCTTAATGGAAAACATACGCAATACAATGACATAAACCAGAAAACATAATCCCATGGCAATGTGGAACTAAACCAGGATCACTCACTGGTTAAGGGACTCTCTGAGTGGGCATTCTCTGATTCATGCCTCAGCAAAATTAGAAATTAACACAGACCACGAATCTTCAGCATTGCTTAAGAACATCTAAAACATCTATTTTTTCTTTTATATTGTATAAATTCATTCTATTCTCAAGAAATGTATACACTCATTGTGATTTATATTTCAATAACTTACAAAAAAAGAAAACATGCTTAAACATTTCCACAGAAAGTTAAACCAAAAATAAACCAAATTTTTAATTTAACTTTTAGGTATTAACAAGAATAATACAGATTATTCCTGACTATTCCATATCTCTAGAAAGACTGTGCATCAAGCTACTTTGGGACATGAAACTAGTCTTGCGGACATGGATTCAAGAAGGAAAATCAAGAACTCTCTTTTTAGGAAGGTAATCACACTGTAAAAAATGGAGAAGTGGGTAGATTCTAGTGATTTTGAACCTCCAAAAGAAAGGCAGCTTATTAAAAGCACCATTAATAAATGTCTTCATGTTCCACATGAACTTAACCAAACTGAAGAATAAAATCTTTTAAAATAATGACAATTCTGCCTTTACTAGGTATCAACAAAACTGATTTTAAAAAATAGGAAATTACAAGGAAAATGATAAGCTGATAATTATTAAAGTGTGAGTGAAAATATTTTCTTTCTAAAATGATCAATCAAAACATCTCACTGAGAGATAGAAAACAGTCATTTGGGAGAAGGAGAGTGCATGGGCTTGCAGAAGACAGTGTGACTGCCGAGTAGCACTAAGGACGCCTTAAGGTCAAGAATGATGAATTTATAGGATTAAGTCCTGCCTTACTTTCTAAAATTTTGTGTAAAAAGATTTACACTTACTTCTGGTGGTGGCTCCTGATCATTCTTCCATGACGCATCTGATCCCCTATCCCTAGAAAGAAGAAAAACATCAAAGGTACTTATTAAGATTCTGGTAAGCACTTATAACTTACTAGTATGGAAAATAGTAAAGTAGAAGACATGAGCTCAACCCTTAATTTTGCAATACACATGAAAGTAAGAGTAAAAAGTAAACGACCATTTATATGTCCTTTACCTTGTTTCAGAAGATGTGAGAAGCTCATTACAAAACCACAACATTTGGACATATATAAATATTTGGACCGGGGAATGAGAACAAGAAGCCAAGGCTGTGGTATGCAGAGGAAAGTGGTTTTGCAGTTCATAAGCATCTCCAGATGCTATAACTTTGACTGACACTTTCCTGACACCTGAGCTCATTCATAAAGCTTACTTCAATAAATACTTATTTTACACCAACTATAGGTCAGACACTGGTCCAGGTGCTAAGGACACAGAAACGAACATGAAGCACTCTCTATCCAAGATTTCACAGTTTTAATGGCAGAGATAACAACATGAAATTCTTTTTCCTCGATTTACCTGAGGAATATCAATGGCACTCCATGAGTAACAAAGGCTTACTCAACAGTGATTCTTTTTTTTTTTTAAAAGATTTTTATTTTTTTTTTCCTTTTTCTCCCCAAAGACACCCCAGTACATAGTTGTATATTCTTCGTTGTGGGTCCTTCTAGTTGTGGCATGTGGCACGCTGCCTCAGCGTGGTTTAATGAGCAGTGCCATGTCCGCGCCCAGGATTCGAACCAATGAAACATTGGGCCGCCTGCAGCGGAGCGCGCGAACTTAACCACTCGGCCACGGGGCCAGCCCCTCAGCAGTGACTCTTAAAGCAGACACAGTAAAATGAAGCCTACCTAGTTTGGGGAGGAAGACCTTGGAAGATTTAAAGGACAGTATAATCACAAACATTAATTACTTTTAGTGGAAAGTTTTATACTCTATGATCAACAAAACTATATATATCTATTATAAGGATGATTAGAATTTCTGAAAGCTCATTTTTAATCTTCATCTTTTTAATCTTTTTATTTCATAGTTTGACAATATCTTGTTATTCAACTACTTAAAAATATTATAAAGTATTAGGAGTAGATGTTGTCCTCACTGCTTTAAACTAGATCTCAAAAATAAATGAGATTCTTAGGAATTCATTCATTAAAGTAATTAATCCATAAAAATTCATTTACAGATGTCAATGGGCCGGCACAATATGAAAATCACTAAGTTTGCTCTAAAATTTTGATTCAGAACTTTTCACATTGTGTATTGGCATTATCAATGATTTTTCCACCACTTAAAAAAAGCTTTTACTCATCAAATACCATCTTACACCTATGCATTTAACATAGCTACAGTACTTCTCTTTGCTTATATGCCATCTCATGGCCTGCAGTGCCCACAGCCTGGAGTTTAAAGACATAAATAGGAAAAGCTCCCCAACTAGCAATGCACTTACCACAGAAAATCAAAATCTACTAAAGAAAAGATCAAGCAACATTTCAAAAAGCTCTTTTAACAAGAGAGTAAGTTCATGGGAGGCTAGAATTAAAATAGCCTTACTAAAGGTGGGTAAGCGGGAGAGGAGCTGAACTTCTCTATCTCAAAGGCAAAGTACTCCACTGAGTTCCCATAACAGACACCACAATGCAGTCTAGAATAGAAGAGGCTTTGTCAAGTGGGGCTTCTGCAGGGTAGGCCTAATTTTCCATTCTTTAGTTTATTGTTACTGCTTTCCAGCACAAAATTCTTATTCTTGCACATAAAGACAAAGACTACTCCTATTGTTTAAAGTCCATTTAATAAACACCTTCAGAAAACTTTTCAGTTTACATGGGGGTTTTTTTTGCTGCTGCTGTTGTTGAAGAAGATTAGCCCTGAGCTAATGTCTGTGCCAATCTTCCTCTGCTTTATATGTGGGTTGCCACCATGGCATGGCTGACAAGTAGTGTAGGTCTGTGCCCAGGATCCAAACCCATGAACCTGGTCCACCGAAGCAGAGAGCACTGAACTTAACCACATGCCACGGGGCCAGCCCCAAGTTTATCTGTTTTAAGCTAAAATATGTTGTTAAAAGCTAAATATATGGCATAGCACCAGCGATATCCCAATATTCAAAGCAGAATAAAATGTTAATTATTTAAGTGATGATTTTAAAACATACTAGACTCTTTATGACTGTATCATCTATTTAATTCACCTTTCTTGTCAGTGGACCTTACGCAGTCTGAAGAACTTAAGCAAAATGTTTCATCAAACTATGTGAATCCTTAAACATGAATTTAATCAATTACAAGGAACAAAATTTTCACCTCTGAAATAATAAATGAAATTCAGAGACTTGATTTAACATGTAAGTGGTATAGAGACCTTCTTATGCCACAGAACTGGGACCAGTACACTTGACATAGCACCAAGGCTACTTACTGACTGAAGTTCCTTTGTATTTCCTGCAAAAACCACATCCTTAATGCTTCACCTAAATTTCAAGTTTCCAACTAAAGACAGGACTTGTCTGTCAAACGAAGTGAAAAGTCTTTTTGGATTCAGGATTCCTCTCGCATTCCCCAATCTTTCACGGTCTTTTCTTCCACTCTTAATTGGACATTATTTTTTTAGTGCCTCATATTCATTACATCTTTCCAAAGTATTCAACTTATTTTTACAGAAAAAGCTATGCTATTTGAACTATATGTCATTGATTTATATAAATTAAATTATATAAGTTTGACTGATATAAGTAGCTCTACAGCTAACACCTGGTAACAATTAACACATGGAAAATATACAATTAACCAGTGGGAGCAAAAATATGCAGAAATACTACTACCCACACGCCACAGGCATCATTTAGCATATTTACAGGCAAAATGAAGGGCACTGGTTTGTAGGTTGTCAACCCTATTTATCACAGTTTGATATACAACTTTTCACAGACATATCTTACTTCTCTCTTCTATAAATTTGCAATTTATACACAATCTGAAATTTACTCATTTTCTTTTTCTTCTTGAGTATTACAAAGTTTATTAAATAGTTAAGCCTATGACTATAATCCAAAGAAAATTTTACTTAAGTTGGAAAAGAATTTTTTAAATGATAATACTAATACTGAAAGAGTATGTATATAAAAGTATATAATGGAAAAAACAATGGATTAGAATTCAGAAAATTTTTATGGCTCAAATGTATTCTTACTAGTTGATCATGTCATTTTGGCCAAATGATATAAATGATCTCTATCTGTAGAATATGATAATAAATTGTAGCTTTCAGAGATGTTACTAGGAAAACAAATGAACTCTTTGGAAGATACGTACCATTTAACTACAAGAAACTACCATCACTAAGAATTATTCCTAAAATATAAACATAAGACAAGCAAACAACACTAACATGTCAATCAAGTACTTACTGTTTAAGTTTTTCTGTGAATATATATTGAGTGAAGTCTTTCATTGATGGAGCAAAATACATAGTATCTTTTATTTTAATACCTTTATTCTCAATGTGCTCTGAAGAATTAAACCGTAACACATAAAATGGATGTGCAACAGGTCCAAATATCTCAAATATCTATAAAATAGAAGAAACATAAAGGCCTCCTTTAACATGACAAATGACTTGAAAAGTCAGTAATATTTAAAAAAGCAAAACATTGATAATTGCTATAACAAGGTAATTTTGTCAGCGTCAGAACAATAAAATTGTATTTCTATTTGTCATTTTTGCATAATCACAAAGTCTTCATAGTTTGATTATAAATGCATTAACTTATTCCACATTTCCTTTTTATGAATTTAAAACGAGTGTAACAAGTTAGTTCTTACTAAATTCAAATCATTTTAGTAATACCAGATGTAAATTATGAAGTTTTGGTTTTATTTTTGGTCATTTAAGTGGTAAGGTATGAAGAAAAGAATTACAATTGGTAACTTTTGAGAATTAAAACGCTGTCTCTGAGTCAGTGTCTCCAGACATAAAACTTAAAAGGCAAACTTCTGCTTCAATGGGTATTCAATCCCTCTATTTCCATACAGTGATTAACATCTTTAAAAAATTAAACCACAACTTTTTCTAATTCGAAAAGTAGTAAAAGCAGGTTTCAACATGAAGTTGCTTATTTCTCAAAAATCAAAGATGCTATACAGCCTTTAACTTTTACATAAAGGAACTGCTTTTAGCACCAAGACAAATTATTTTATTTCTGAAAATGTTTTATGAAAGATGAAAGGAAGTCTCTTGTTTTCAAATTCTTCTCAAATACCTGAATTTTTAAAAATAATGTTTCTGACAACAAATTATGTATATTACAGAAACTGGACCATGACCAATGTCAGTGTAGATTTCACCATTAATGATTTTTTTCTTTTGAGATTATACTGTAGCTTTACATACTGCTCCCTTTTAAAACCTAAAGTTGCACTAAATTTTTGCATGTTACAAATATTATTCATAAGTATAATTTCAGTGGGTATATAACACTCCTGTATAGATTTAGCACAATTTATTTAACTCGTCTTATACTACAGGACATTTAGGTAGCTTCCAATTTGTTCAGTATTATAAATAATGCCATGATGAACATCGTTATCCATAAATTTCTGTACTTAAGATTTCCTGAAAATTGATTTGTAAGGGATGGAATTATTGGAACCAAGAGTATGATTATTATTAAAAGTCTTGATGTAAATTACTAAATAATTTCCAAATAGCTTGGACCATTTTAAACCAACTGTATTGAAAGTACTCGTTTTATTACATCCTCAGTTCTTGCTTTTTGATAGTAAATGTTCTCATTTTATGCTCTGCAGTATACCATTCAAGCTTTTAGTAATTCTCAATCTGGCATAAAACAACTCACCCATCATGGTACCAACGTTCTGAAGATAAGATTACTCTAAAAATAGCGAGAAATGTATTTGAAAGGATTTAGATAAAAACAGTAGACCTCTTCCAACCAGAACTGCAAAGGATAGAAAGGGATACATGCAGCACAACTCTTCCTGGCCTACACTACATACGCTAAAGTAATATATCATCTTACTTGTCACTTTTTTAAAAATCTTAAAAACAATTCACATTTTGTTTAACTCCCTTGATGAATATCGACAAATCTATACTTTAAGTCTGGACAGGGACAAAAATATCTTTAAAAAAAATTTCCTATGAATCCATTAGTACAAGGTACAGTAATGATTGTTTGTGACCCGGTATAAAAAGCTGTTTCCCAAGGATTTGTTTCCTGGATAGCAAGCTTCCATCTCCTAACTGGGAGAAATGATTTCACTAGGAAAATGCCTTAACAGCTTTGGGTTTATGCAGAGACTGGTTTGAACTAAACTGTAAGTGATTTTCAAATTCCTGGATAAAAATCATAGCATACTTAGTTGCCAATTCTTAAGATCTGAAGTGTTTATAAGACACAGCACCATAAAATCATTATAAAGTTTTAAGTGAAATAACAGCACATACAGCAGGTAACAGGAAGCTGCCTTATGAAGTCAGTACACGGCATACACCAATACTGAGCCGGATTTACAGTCCTCCTTCAAACAGTCACAGGGATACTTGACTGAGTTCACAGAAGCAATCTGGCTAATTCAGAATTACAGAAAAGGAGGATTTAACAATATTTTAACCAATGATAGCTTCAGAGTATAGATTTTAGACTGGCTAATACCTGAGAGCTAAAGTGTGAAGAGCAACTTGAGACAAAGTAGGGCTCAGGCCAGCCCACTTCCTCTCACAGTTCCCTTAAACTTTGAATCCTGCTGTCTTTCCACCTGACTATGGGGATTTCGCAACTCCCATACTGCCTGACTAGAGATAAAAAGAAAGGAATAGGTGGGGCCGGCCCAGTGGCCTAGTGTTTAGGTTCAGGCACTCTGGTTCACGGGTTTGGATCCCAGGCGCAGACATACACACCGCCTCCTCAAGCTAGCTTGTGGAAGCATCCCACATACAAAATAGAGGAAGACTGGCACAGATGTCAGCTCAGGACAATCTTCCTCAAGCAAAAAGAGGAAGATTGGCAACAGATATTAGCTCAGGGCCAAACTTCCTCATAAAGGAAAAAAAACAAAGGAACAGTCCACAAGGACAGTGTAAGAAACAGAACTCAGGATAGTAATGTCGAAGAGATTTACTTTAAGGTGGGCAATAGCTTTCTTTATACCTTAAATAATAGTATATATTCTGTAGAAATACTCATATAAAAATTTAATCCAACTAATGTTTTACACACACCCTGTTATTTGAAAGGTAGTTTTCAAAGTGTCCTTCTACTTAGCTCTAGCTTAGAATACTCACCATCACTTACTCAAAAGTAGTATCTTTCTGCTAAAAGACCTGGAAGGGTTCCTGTCACACAAAGGAGTCACAAAGACACACCACTACCACCACATAGTACAGATATAGCATAGGGTCTGTGGGGAAAAAAACTGACAAGCAAGAAAGTAAGAGTATGTTAGCGCCCCAAATTCTCATTCCACAGCATAGGCTGGGTTTAGGTGTTCCATATGCCACACTGCAAGAGTTCCAGCGGTGGGGGGGCTGCCTGGGCCAAGTGGCCGCACATGCATAAAGAGCATTCTGAGAGAATAAGCCATACTCTCCTCCCCTCTCCACACACACCATGTTATATACTTACAGGTTAGCCTAAGAGGGACTAGGTAACGCCTAGTTTGTCTAGGGAACACGAAACATATCAAGGAATCTCCAGGCCCAGGAACAATGCTGGAGGGCTGTGCACGTGGAGGGCCAAGATCCACATGCTAGTGCTCTGTGAACAGCCTTCAAAAAACGCCATTAGCCAAAGGCCTTACTGTCTTTCCAGCTGAGCCTGATTTTGGCTAAACTACCAACAGAAGAAAGGGGGCAATGAACTCCCACAGCCATCCAGAATTGTCTCTTATCAATCGCTTTATACTATTTTGACTTTCCATTCATAAAAATGAAGACAATAAGAGTATTCTAATTCATTAGTTAGGTCAAATGATTGTTTCAATCACTGTGCATATTACTATATCACAAGTTACTGAGGGAGGGAAAAAAATCCACTCTATCAATATAATATGGAGACTTTCAGAAAATCATCACATACTACCAACCAAGACTAATATAAAGTATTCTTTAAAAAGAGATCAGTAAAACTTCCTAACCAATGATATCAGACGGAAATTGATTTCAATGTTTTGGTTTACTAAAAAGTAAAACAAACAATAATAATACAAACAAAACTTGCTCTAATAAATACTCAAAAGTAAATGCAAAACAAATAACCAACAAATTCAGCTTATCAGGGATAATAGGTGGCATAGTTTGGTCAATTTTTTAAAAATCTCCTTATATTAAAGAACAAAACATTAAAAATGGAATTTCATTGATCATTTATCAAGAAGAACTAATTACTATTACGATTAAAGGGCAAGAAGTAGAATTCAAATCTGAGCTCGCCCTCCTTAAATCAGTGGGGAAGAGGGTGGGAGGTGGAAGGGAAAGGAATCAGATAGACCAACTGAGTTGTAAACTCAAAAATTTTGTGATTTTTCAGTAAATGGGATTTCTACAGAGTTTCAGTGACTTTAGAAAGATACACAAAGTATTTATCACCATGCCTCATTATTATTGTTATTATTGAAGAGCAGAGGGAAAAGAAGCGATGTACAAAGGTTTGACATTGAAGGGAAAACTAATATAGTATCTCGATGAGATACGCTAATGATCTAAAATCGATTCAATTTCATTTTCTAGCCATTGGGTTGTTTAACTGATACTCTCGGCCCTCCCTACCCCTGCCATTATTTTGGGGAATCATTTCAAAGTGCTTAGATTTATAATTAAATATTTTTAGGAGACTTGTCACTTCCTGAATTTACAAAGCTTTCTACGTAAAATTTAGAAATAGATTTAATTATTCCCTCTAGACATATGTCATATAGCTAAAGTCAGAGGCATAAATGTTACATTTTTATCCTTTCAAAGACAAATGACAGAAGAGCTGAGTATTAACATTATTAGTCACAATCATAGGACTGAAATTTCAAATGTATTCAGGATATAAGAAAAATGAGTTTAGAGGTTTTAAATTAGCAAAGTGTTGGGTATTTTGAAATTAAAATTGTCTAAGTTAGCTACTTAGAGAAAAAGGCAACTGTCATGAAAATCATAATAAGTTTCAATCCATAGTCAGAAAATCAAGAAATACACTTCTTTTGCTTCTTTTCCCCTCCCCTCTTCTACTACTTTCTTAAGGACAGCAAGAAATGTTTTGCTTTTGCACCTGCACATATTGGTTTCTCCTAAAGAAGTGTACCATTGGGCATGGAGAGCCACTCACAGCCTGATCATCCACTCACCTTCCATTCTTTTTGTCTCTCAACCTTCTTGGAGGTTAAGCCCCCTCATATACCTCTAACCCCTTATAAAGGTCCCAGCAGTACCCGTACTTGAAACAAAAGCATTAAGAATAGGTATGTGAAAGGGAAGAAGTACAGCACCATCCTTCAGGCATTAAAAACTCTTTCTTCCCTCACAAACTTTCTCAAGAATTGTCAAAAAATATCAGTTCTAAACTCCAGTTAATTCTTCCACTGACTGCTTTGTGACTCATTTCTCTTTGGTAAATTGGCCTATCAACCTAAAAAAAGTATATGTAGGTAGTGCAAGGTGCAGGACCCTGATAAAAACCTGATCTCTTCTAATTTATGTTAGAATGGAATAGCAGGAAAAGACAGAGAAAAGGGAAGCTCATGTGAGTGACTCAATAACATAGGCCAAAGTATATGCTTTTTTCTGACTAAATGTAAATTAATTCTATCTCCTAGAACAAAAAAAAGAAGCCTACTGTTGCTTATCTGGGAAAAACTAAACCCCATAATGTTGCTTCTTTGAAGACAGCAGCTGGTTTCTTGCTTGTTTTCAACTCAATACACATTTACTTATTAGCACATATAATTTACGAAGGGCTGTACTTTGTACAGAGGGGAATAACGAGGTGAATAAAACACTGTCCTGGCGCCAGCCCCGTGGCTGGGTGGTTAAGTTTGCGCACTCCACTTTGGTGGCCCAGGGTTTTGCTGGTTTGGATCCCCGGCGTGGACATGGCACCACTTGTCAGGCCACACTGAGGCAGCGTCCCACATGCCACAACTAGAAGGACCCACAACTAAAATATCCAACTATGTACTGAGGGGACTTGGGGAGAAAAAGCAGAAAAAAATAAAAAAAGATTGGCAACAGTTGTTAGCTCAGGCGCCAATGTTTAAAAAAAAACCCACAAAACAAAACACTGTCCCTACTACCAGAACAGGAACACTTGGTTGGTGTTTATATTCTTGTTCTTTGAAGGCTTTATATCCTCTGCTGACTGCTCAGAATTGTGTATTTGCTGGGTAAAATATGTGGTCTTCCCTATTAAGGATGGACATGCACTGTAGTTCCATTAGTTAGATGTTAAAAGGGACCCAACCTTAGGGTGAGTACTAAGTACACATATTCATAATTCCCCAGAATGTGCTCACAGCAATGCTTTATTGCTATCACTGAAATTTCTTTCCATTTGAAAAAGATTCCACTCTCAGCTTCCACCTGAGGAAGCCAGTCTAAAAAGTTTTGAGAGCCACTATTCAAAGGGACTCACAAATCAAAAAACGTTAAGAACTACTACACTGTGGAAAGTCTCCCGCACTCAACTGAGTACCTGAAGGGTAGGGAACTGTGTCTTGTTCACTGTGTAGACCCACTGCCTAGCAAAGCACCTGACAAACATCAGGAAAAAAATCTATACATGTGCATTTAATGACTCAAGCAGGAAAGAGTAATAAGCAATATTAAACCAATATAGAGACGGACACCAAGTACTGAAGAGCATAAAGAACATACTAAAAGTTGAGAGCTACAGACTGCTCATCTACTAAAATTAATAAACTCTTTTTAGGACAGATAGGGAAAGTCAGGAAAACCAATCAACAAAGACAGAATAATTTGTAAGATCTGAATTTTTTACAAACCTTTCCTGCTGCCTGTCGATCACTTTTAAAAATTACAGTCTCCTCATTAACTGGAGGTAAGTTAGTCATAGATTCAATTATTACTGAAAAATGAAACAAAATAGATTATTTCAAGATTTAATCAGAAGATATAGAATTTAAATGGGAATTTAGGCTTTAATTCCAACATAATTTTAAATGAAATTTAAGGTGAGATAATATACCTCAGTAACTATTCCTCTTGGATAAACAAAGTCTACTTTTTACTGAGTGGCACCAAGAAAATAGATTCTACATATTTTTATTTAACACAAAAGCTATAATTCTAAGAAAAAAATTAAAGTACAAAACCTCATAGAAAACTTGAATCACCCATTAAAAAGTCAACCAATTCCAGCCATGTACATTTCCTTGAGCAATTTTTACCCAAAAAATATAATCACATTTAATCACAAAACTCCTGTTTTGTAAGAAATTAGTCTTCTTTCTCATTCTAGAAATTCTTTCCTACAAAGCACTGATTACTTACTGATATACAAAAAAGTTAGACTTCACAAAAGCATCTTCCTCTGAACAGATGAAGAACCATAGAACTCACAGTAATTTTTATCACTTCCCTTCTCAAAAAGCAAAAGCATTATCCCACTAGTCTGGCATAATCTCCAATTCTTGTAAGTGCCACAAATGTTAAACTGATCTACTTCAGCAAAGAGAAAAAAATACACACAACAAGTTCTTAGAAAATTAGGGCAAACGGCAAGAATACTTTGTCACATCACATAGATAATGCCACATCTACCTGAGAGAGGAAATATATTAGTTCAGATTATTAAAATTCATTCAAAAAATTTCAATTGTATCCCAGTTAATTTCAACAGTTAGTGCTTCTAAGTTCTGAACATACATATAAGTAAGAGATCATGGATCAACATTTTTTAAGTTAGATCTGCACCTGGAATAAAGATGATGAGTAAAGACTGATAATGATAATGAGCACTAACAAAATTCATTGTCACTCATCTCTCCTTTCTAATCCCTTTCCCAAAGAGTCAAATTATATGAAAATAAAAGATCACCTAATCCAATATTCTTACTTTATAGAAAAATGAGAAAACAGGACTCAAAAGACTAATATTACCACCTGGCCAATTTCAGACCGAGTTACCACTGGAACCTAGATCCCTAGTTCCAAGACTTTCTGTAACAACACAACTACTGATTGTGTTTCCGCCGTGTAAAAGACCCATGCTTTTATTACTATGATTCTAGGTGGTACACAATTTCAGGTAGTTGGGTTCAAACAAATTTAAGAGTTTGTACCATATATTGATAGAAACTTTCAAAGGCTATGAATACTCTGAAGGTATGTACTTAGTACAAGATCCTTAATTTCATGAAATCTCTCCACTTCTACCTGATGGATAATATCTAATTAGCCTCTTGTATTTTCCAAGTTAAAAAAAAAGAACAAACCAACATAACTTCTAGAAGAACTGCAGAGTACAAAGCCAAATCCTCTCTTTTCATATTTGGGTACTAATTTGAATTTGTAGATTTTTTTTGCATAATATACTAATACTTGTATTTTCTTTTTTGTAATTTGATCCAAATAATGTTAGATATTTTAGGCATTCAAAACAGAGTAGCTTGTGCTGACTGTAATTCATTCAATCTTTATTCCCACCAACTTGAGAATTTTGCTAGTCTATTAGGATGTGTTAGTCAAAAACCTATTCTGAAAATGTATTATTCCATGTGTACCATATAGTTTATATTTTTTTTCCTTGAGAATAAACATTGCAACCTAAATTTTTTCTATATATATCAAGTCTAATAAATGCTCAACTCATACTATGTAATCAAGTAATTACCTGTTTGGTTTACTTATGCATATTATTAAAGACCATAAAATAACTTAAAAACTAGTAAACGTAATGACGAGAATCACGTAAAGAGTTTTAATCATTGTGATTTTTGTAAAAAGAAGTTTCACTTTATCAGAATTTTGATTAATAAATTGCATAAGTACAAAATTATATAAGTATTAATTTTTTTAAATATTGATATGGGCACTGTTAGAAAAAGGTCAAAAGATAAAGTCCCATTTCTACCACTGACTCATTATACAACTGATCATAAGAGGAAGTGACTTGAATTTTTCCATGTCCTTGAAGTCCTGTAAACTAAGGGGGCTATGAATAATCCAGGTCTTCTGTCCAGTTCAAAAATCTCATGGATTTGTCAATGCTGAGTTCTAGTCTCAGATGTGTCTTACTCTGAGAGTTAATGGCAGCTCCAGTAACTTCAAGGCCTTTCATAGACCTACCTCACATCCTGGGGCTAAAAGAAATCTGTAATATCTAGTTCTCTATAATCCAATAAGCTTCAGATTTCATGCCGTTAATACCAGTATTAAATCACAGAACTTTCTAATTTACATGTTTACAAAATAAAATCAAAGGCGGTAGGCAGAATAATCCACCCTCCTCCAGAAAAAAAAAAAAAAAAAGGTACCACAACCTTAATCCCTGAACCTGTGAATATGTTACCTTACGTGAAAAAAAAGATTTTGCAAATGTGATGAAGGTTAAGGACCTTGAAATGGGGAGATCATCCTGGATTATGCATGTAGGCCCAACCTAAGGAGTCCTTAACAGCAGAGCAGCTTTCCGGGCTGTGGTCAGAGAGAGACGTGATGACGACAGAAGAAGGGGCAGAGAGAAGGGACATTATTGGCTTTGAGGATGAAGAGGTCCATGAGCCAAGGAATGCGGGCCGCCTCTAGAAGCTAAAAGGAACAAAGGAATGGATTCTCCCAGAGCCTCAGGACAGAACTCAGCCCTGATGCCCAGTGAGACCCATATCAGACTTCCGGCCCGTAGAACTGTAAATAGTAAATTTGTGTTGTTTTAAGCCACCAAATTTGTAGTTATTTAACAGCAATAGAAAATGAATACACCAAACCATACAAAATGCTGAAGAAATAGGTCAATAAAAGCAGACTTTAAATTTTTATAAAGACAATGTATTTATGGATTACTTGTATAAGTAAAAACAATATATCTATTCGAACTCAATGACTTACATATTTCACAGAAAATTCACTAGTCAATGTCTTTGATTTGATTATTAGTGTATGCTTGGATACAAATGATAATTTTAAATAAAATTACTTACATACCCAATTGCTCAATAATACTTGAAACCATCCCAAGAGGCTTTAATTCAATATCTTCAGGCAGAATAATAGTGAGCTCTTCAACAGAAGGTAGTTCCTGTAATAGAAAAAAGCATTAACCTTCCTCCAGCTTCAACAACTTAACTTTAGACAACGGGACATAGTTTCCATTTAAAGTACTATACACATTTATGAAGATGGAACATTAAGTACTTATGCCATCTCCTTGATGTTATCTTTTCCAGTGCCTGACAGCATTTCTCCCACCTGCAACATCTCCGCGTGGCAGTGATGCAATAGGTCTAGAACCTACACTCCAGGCTGGCTAGACCAAGAACACAGACAAGAGTACCATTCTAGATTTTTGCAATCACTCTTAAACAAGAGAACAACAACAAAAACGCTATTCTTAAGGAATCCAAGGTAAAGAAAAGAGACAATTCACATAATAATTCCCAGAGACATTCCACTTGAAAAGAAATAATTCTACTGGTCACTGCAATTTCTCCACAGAAGAAGAGTTCTCTCTTAGCTGTCTTAATTTAGGTGAAGTAATTATTTGACTCTGATTAAATAGTGGAACAGAGAAGCAGCAATCTTTTCTGGGGCTGTGTAAAAAAGAGATAAATATAAACGTCTGGCCTGTTCAGAAAAAATACAGAATTCCTGGAAACAGAATGTAGGCTTCAGCCTAGAAAAGCTGTGAAGGTGTTGCCTGGTATCTTCCCTCGCAAGTTTAAAAACTAAATTTTTTACATCTACAGATTTCTCTTTTCTGACCCAGCTGCTAACTGTATCTCAGTTGCTATAGAAACTAGATATTGAAGTAGAGCTGAAGTTGAAGAGAAATCTAAGAATAAAACTGATCTTAGGTTTTAAATTAAATAAACAGCTTTCTATTCTTGACCTTTGCCAGAACATCATTATTAACTCTGAGAAGGAAGTTTTTCCTTAAGAAGGCTTGAAAGTGCAAAGAGCCTACTGACAGCATATTAGGAGTTAGTTTGGGAGGAGAAAGATAATTTTTTGGAGAAATATTGGCAAAGAGAAAATCTAAATATGCAGTGTCCTGCAGATAAATTATCATGGGTAATCATTTTTCTCTATAGAGACGTAATCAAGGTTTTTAACAAAATCATTTAACCAGAGTTAAAGTATAACTTGCTTCTGGGAGACGCTATTTTCCCATCAAGAATTATTTAGGAAGTGCCGCACTAAGGGTTTCAACCAGCTCAAGGCAGAAGACTTACCTCTGGATGGTTAGTCTGGCTGGCGTTGGAGGAAATGAGGATGTTTTATATGTCAGAATTTTTCTGGGTACTTTTAGGGAGAGGACAACCACTTGTCATTTTATCATATTAAATTCAGAAAGCCTCTTCTTGGCAAGACTATTGTTTGAAAGTAGTCCAGTGTGTATCAGAATAGAGAAGGGAGTTCAGTTGTTAAAAGAAACTGGTAAAGAACACGTAATGTGGAACAGCCTTGTTTAGGCAGTTCTTAGCTAAAGAAACCCCACACCCTGTGAACCGTAAGAGTGGAGCACTACAATGGCGTGGACTGCAGGCAGGAGGGTTTGAATAACATTTTAGAGGGCAATTGTGATATGGGTCTCACACTGATTTTGGTTCTGGGAGTGGCACCTCTTCTAAGTGGCAAATGGCATTTTCTAATACAGAAGTATAGTGGCCGTCAGATCTGCCCCCTTGCCTAACCAAATTAAGGTAAGATCTAGAGGAAAAGCTTTCATTACTTTTGGACTGTTATAAACCCCACTGGTTAAATGAAGTCAGGAGTGCACAGATAGAAGAAAGGGTAGGTAAGTCTCCAAAAGAGGAAGTGCTGTTAGATCTTTGATAAAAACTTCTGAACTGGGTAGGAGGGCAGACCACATGCCATCAACACTTGGGACACAAAATCAATGTTATTCTCAAATAAACAAATGCTATTTGACCACAAAATGAAAGGCTCTCTGTTCTGCATGTTCTATTAGAAAGAATAAAGGCCCAGGCAATATAATTATGTTTCAGCACAAATCTAAACTCTGATACTGTTTTGACTTTTTTTAACTTTAAAGTCTAAAAACAACGCATATTCCTGTTTTTATTTTTTTAGTTTAATTAATTTCTGAGGTAACACTTCCTTATAACATTATATAAATTTCAGGTGTACATCATATTTCAATTTCGATGTAGACTATATCGTGGGTGTGTTTGGTTTTTTTTGGTGAGGAAGATTGGCCCTGAGCTAACATCTGTTGCCAATCTTCCTTTTTTTTCCTTCTCCCCAAAGCCCCATACATGGTTGTATATCCCAGTTGTAAGTCCTTCTACTTCTTCTATGTGGGATGCAGCTACAGCACGGCTTCATGAGCATTGTGTAGGTCCAAGCCCAGGATCTGTACCCTGGGCAGCCAAAGCAGAGCACGTGAACTTAAGCACTACACCACCAGGCTGCCCCAACTACATCATGTTTACCACCCCAAGTTTAATTGCCATCCATCACCTACACATGCGCCCTTTTACCCCTTTTGCCCTCTTCCCTCCCCTTTCCTCTTTGGTAACCACCAATCTATTCTGTGTGTATGTTTATTTGTTGTTGTTGTTTTTATCTTCCTCATGAGTGAAATAATATGGTATTTGGCTTTCTCCCTTTGACTTATTTTGCTTAGCATAATGCCCTCAAATCCATCCAGTGTTGTTGCAAATGGCAAGATTTCATCTTTTTTACGGCTGAGTAGTATTCCATTGTGTGTGTCTGTGTGTCTCTGTGTCTGTGTGTGTGTCTGTGTGTGTGTATCACATCTTCCTTATCCATCCGTCCCTTGATGGGCAGACAGCCTGCTTCCCAGTCTTGGTTATTGTGAATAATGCTGCAATGAACATGGGGGGGAAGGATCTTTTCAAATTAGTGTTTTCATGTTCTTTGGATAAACATCCAGAAGTGGAATAGCTGGATCACACTGTAGTTCCATTCTTAACTTTTCAAGAAATCTGTACTGTTTTCCATAGTGGCTGCACCAGTTTACATTCCCACCAGCAGTGTATGAGGGTTCCCTTCTCTCCACATGTCTCCAACACTTGTTATTTCTTGTCTTGGTAATTATAGCCATTCTGATGGGTGTGAGGTGATATCTCATTGTACTTTTCATTTGCATTTCTCTAATAATTAGTGATGTTGAACATCTTTTCATGTGCCTGCTGGCTATCTGTACATCTTCTTTGGAAAAATGTCTGTTTGGATCTTCTGCCCAATTGGGCTGTTTCTTTGTTGTTGAGTTGTAAGGGTTTTTTTTTTTTGTATTTTGGATATTAACCCTTTCTGAGATATATGGTTTGAAAATATCTTCTCCCAATTCATAGGCTGTCTTTTCATTTTGTTGATGGTTTTCTTTGCTGTACAGAAGCTTTTTAGTTTGTTGTAGTCCCACTTGTTTATTTCTTCTTTTGTTTCCCCTGCCTGAGGAGACATGACATCCAAAAGGATACTGCTAAGACTGATGTCAAAGAGCATACCATTTATGTTTCCTTCTAAGAGCTTTATAGTTTCAGGTCTTACATTCAAGTCTTTAATCCATTTTAAGTTAATTTTTGTGTATAGTGTAAGATAAGAGTCTACTTTCATTTTTTGCACGTCAGTGTCCAGTTTCCCCACAACAATTTACTGAGGACACTTTCCTTTCTCCATTGTGTTCTTGGCTCCTTTGTCAAAAATTAGCTGTCCATAGATGTATGGATTTATTTCTGGGCTCTTGATTCTGTTCCATTGATCTGTGTGTCCATTTTTGCACCAGTAACATGCTGTTTTGATTAGTGTAGCTTTGCAGTATATTTTGAAATCAGGGAGTATGATACCTCCAGCTTTGTTCTTTCTTCTCAGCATTGCTTCAGCTATTTGAGGTTTTTTGTTCTTCCATATAAACTTTAGGATTCTTTGTTCTATTTCTGTGAAAAATGTTTTTGGGACTTTGATAGGGATTCCACTGAACCTGTAGACTGCTTTAGGAAGTATGGACATTTTAACTACGTTAATTCTTCCTATCCATGAGCATGGAATATCTTTCCATTTCTTGTGTCTTCTTAAAACTCAAGTAGTACAGAGGGATACAAAATAAAAAGCAAAATTCCCCTAATCTACTCCTTTCAACCTCCCAATTCCTCTCCATAGACAGCTGTTGCCAACAGTCTCTTTCAAATAAATTTACTATGCAGATATAAACCTTACATTCCTAAAATTTAAAATGTTTTACTTAAATAAAATATCCATATTGGAATGCAAGTTATCTTTTCACCTATCACATCTTGCACATCTTTCTACGTCAAAACATAAATATCTAATTTTATTTAAAACTCTTATGGTACCTGCCTCTTTTACCATTACACACAATGACACAAAAACATTCTTTTACATATATATTTGTGTAACTCCTGTGATAAATTCTTCTAAGTGAAACTGCTAGATCCAAATGTGTGACCATTTTTAATTTTGACAGATACTGCTAAATTTCCTTTCAAGAAGGTTATATCAATTATACTTCCACAAACAATGTATGAGAGATTTTCCTAAATCTTTGCCATCAATGAGAAGCAAATTTTAAATCTTTGCCAATCTAACAGGTCTAAAGCAGTATCCTGCTTTAATTTGAATTTCTTCATTAATCAGGAAGACTGGGCATCCATTCAAGTCTCCTGGCTATCTGAATGTGTTTATGAATTATTTGTATATTTTACACATTTTTCTTCTGGAGGGTTTATCATTTTATTAATTTATATGAGAACTTTGAGTTTTTAAGAACATTTTCCCCTTATCAAATACGTAGCAAACATCTACTTCCTTACCTCCCAGCACGTTTTTTAGCATTTTCACTGTTTAAGGAACTTTGCCATTTTAATTTTTATGTAGTCCAACTATATCAATCTCTTCTTTCTTTTGGCGTTTGAAATGTGTGTCACATTTAGAAAGACCTTCCCCATACCAAGATCATTTTTAAAATTCCCTGTTATTTTCGTTGCTTCTCTATTTTTATTTTTAAAATTTGCATATGTGGTCAATTTGCGATTTTTTTCTTGTATAAAAAGCAAGGGAGAGATTGGTTTTCTT